CTCTGGCCTGTACCCCAGTTCTGTATACACAAATAAATAAATCTTTAAAAAAAAAAAAAAGGGAGAGATTATATAAATGCTATGAACATCTATATGCCAACAAATCAGCTTAGATACAACGGAATAGAATGTACAACGGTGCAGTAGCTTCAGAAAACTGCTTTTGGCAATTACTCAAAACATTAACTTATGAAGTTAACATCTAAGATAATACCATTCTTATATACCCAAGAACACTTGAAATGTTTTGTACACACAATGTAATGCCCATGAATATTCACAGCACTGTAATTCCAATAGCCAAAAACTGGAACCAAAGCAAATATCCTTCATTTAGCAGATGGACAAAATATTGTATATTGTCACACAATGGAATATAATTAAGCAAAAATGAGCACCATAATAATTCACGCTTTACCACAGTGAAAAGAAACCATAGATACTCTATATATGTATGCCTATTTATCTCCTGAGTCCATTCATCATAATATACAAAGCATGCAAATTCTTAGAAAAAAAAGTAAATTGTTACCATAAATTGCGAAGAGGCAGGAATGGGGTAGAATTGCTAAGGTTATTTTCTGGGGTATTAAAATGTGGTGGCTATTGGGCCCTTCTGGGTGGTACAACAGGATAAAGGAGAGCACTATGAAACTATCGCAGCCACTGTAACACAAGCTAGCTCCCTGCCCATGCAGGTGTCCCATATGGCACAGCAGACCTCTCCTGTGCCCCTCAGCAGTGTATTTCAGTCAATCTGCCTGTTCTGCTCCCTGTTCTGTCTCTGATGAATCCTCTCACCTCCTGCACCTCTGGCATGTATCTCAGTTCTTGCACACATAAACAAATCTTTAAAAAAATAAAATAAAATGTGGTGACTATTGCAAAACTCTGAAATCCATGAACATGAATTTGTTGAACACAGTGTGATATATTAATTGCATACTTTAATTAAACTGAATTGGAGACACATATGGTGGGTTTTTTTTAAAGATTTATTTATTTTGTGATTTCAGAACTGGGGTATAGGCCAGAAGTGAAGGGGTGATCAGAGGATTCATCAGAGACAGAGTGGGGAGCAAACAAGCAGATCGACTAAGTACACTGCTGAGGGGAACAGCGGGTGGGTCAGGAGAGGTCTGCGGCACACCATGTGGATCACCTCTGGGGCAGTCAGGGATAGAACTCATGCTGAAGTGGCTTTAGCTTCTTAGTGTGGTGCTTTAACCTGCTGAGCCACCAGGGAGGGCCTATAGTGGTATATTTTAATAGTTTTTTAAACAAAGATAAACTAGTGATGTTCCCCCATCAACATCAAATTTTTAATATTTATTTTAGTGTGTTGTGATTGCTCTCACAATTCTGTCTAATATTTTTGTGCATCTAAGTTTCCTTAGCATGCACTTTGCTATTAAATATGTATTATTATACTAAATTGTAAAATATGTTATTGGGGGGCCCTTCCTGAGGGCGCAAAGGGGGGCCCTTCCTGAGGGCGCAAAGGGTTGTAGCGCAGCACTTCAAAGCTGGCCATGGCAGCTCAGTGTGAGTTGGATCCCTGGCTAGGGAAGTAACCCACGTGTCACAGACCTCTCCTGACCCGCCAACTGTTCCCCTCAGCAATGTACTTTATTGATCAACCTATTCTGCTCCCCATTCTGTCTCAGGTGAATTCTCTCAGTCTCTGCACTTCTGGCCTGTATCCCAGTTCTGTATGCATAAATAAATAAAATCTTAAAAAAAAAAAAAAAAAAAAGCAAAGTTTAAAAAAAATGTTATCAAGCCCTCCCTGGTGGCGCAGCGGGTTAAAGCACAGAAAAAAGAAGCTTAAGCCACTTCCACATGAGTTCGATTCCCGCCTGCCCTGGAGGTGACCACATGGCGCGGCAGACCTCTCCTGACCCTCCTGCTGCTCCCCTCAGCAGTATACTTCGTCGATCTGCCTGTTCTGTCTCTGGTGAATCTTCTCACCCTCCGCATCTCTGGCCTGTACCCCAGTTCTGTA